TTCCCCTCTCCCCTCTCCCCTCTCCCCCTCCCCTCTCTCCCCTCCCCTCTCTCCCCTCCCCTCTCTCCCCCTCCCCTCTCTCCCCTCTCTCCCCTCCCCTCTCTCCCCTCCCCTCCCTCCCCTCCCTCTCTCCCCTCCCTCTCCCCCTCTCTCCCTCCTCTCTCCTCCCCTCTCTCCCCTCCCCTCTCTCCCTCTCTCCCTCCCTCTCCCTCCCCTCCCCCTCTCTCCCTCCCTCTCTCCCCTCCCTCTCTCCCCTCCCCTCTCTCCCCTCCTCTCTCCCCCTCTCTCCCCTCTCTCCCTCCCCTCTCTCCCCTCCCCCTCCCCCCCTCTCTCCTCCCCTCTCCCCCTCCCTCTCCCTCCCCTCTCCCCCTCTCCCCCTCTCTCCCTCCCTCTCTCCCCTCCCCTCTCTCCCTCCCTCTCTCCCCTCCCCTCTCTCCCCTCCCCTCTCTCCCCTCCTCTCCCCTCTCTCCCTCCCCTCTCTCTCCCCTCCCCTCTCTCCCTCCCCTCTCTCCCCTCCCCTCTCTCTCCCCTCCCCTCTCTCTCCCCTCCCCTCTCTCCCCTCCCCTCTCTCCCCTCCCCTCTCTCCCCTCCCCCCTCTCCCCCCCTCTCTCCCTCCCCTCTCTCCCCTCCCCCCCTCTCTCCCCTCCCCCCTCTCCCCCTCTCTCCCCTCCCCCTCTCTCCTCCCCTCTCTCCCTCCCCTCTCCCCCTCCCTCCCTCCCCTCTCCCCTCCCCTCCTCCCTCCTCTCTCCTCCAGTTAAGCATTTATTTGTATTCTCTCTGTCTCTGACTTTCACCCTTTCATCACCACCACTCGTTTGTTTGTTTGTTTTGGTTTGTTTGTATTAGTGTTTTGTTTTGTTTTGTTTTATTTGTTTTTGTTTTGTTTGGTTTTGTTTTCCTAGTTTTGTATTTCCTAATTACTTAGTCGAGGTTTTGTGTTGTTTTTGATTATAGCTCGTGAAGTGTTGTTGTTGTTGTTGTTGTTGTTGTTGTTGTTGTTGTTGTTTGTTGTTGTTTATTTGTTGTTGTTGTTGTTGTTTATTTGTTGTTTATTTATTTGTTTTTTATTTGTTGGTGTTGTTGTTGTTGTTGGTGTTGTTGTGGTGGTGTCTGTGTTTTATTGTTTTATTTTTTATTATTATCTCTCTCTCTCTCTCTCTCTCTCTCTCTCTCTCTCTAGTCAATATTCACAACAGCACAACAGTTCAATTACTATTTGAAATATAAAATTTACCTGACGACCAACAGCACAGAAGAGAGGAGAAGAGAGAGAGAGAGAGAGAGAGAGAGAGAGATGAGCTCAGTGAAAATGATGAAGGGAGACAGAATAACCAATGAATAGATAGAAAGGAGAGAGAGAGAGAGAGAGAGAGACCTTTATATACCAGTCTCCAACCTGTTAAACTTTCCACACAAATAATAACTTAGGCCTAATAAATATTGTTTTTTGTGGGTGGTTTGAGCTTCTTGAGTGTCTCTCTCTTAGGAGCTTCACATTAAAAGGCTGAACATTGAACATTATTATACGGTATTTAAAGTAATGTTCCGTTTGTTTTAATATTGGCGAGACAGAGAGTCATCCCCTTCCCCTCTTGATCAATCCCCCTCCTCCCCTCCATCCCTTCTTGATCAATCCCCTCCTCCCCTTCTCCTTTTGATCAATCCTCCTCCTCCTTCCCCCACACCCGAGACCGATTCCCCATCCCTACACCCCCCCCTACCCCCGACCCATCCCCCTCCATCCCCCCGACCCATCCTCCTCCTCCCCCTCCCCCGACACTACCCCTCCCGACCCATCCCATTTATTTTCTATAATTTCTCCAATAGGTTACTTATGGGTATTATTATTGTTATTATTATTATTATTGGAGAAACCTGTTTAACCCCCCAATCCCACCCTCCTTACTCCTGACCTCCCTACCCCTCCCCTATACCCCCCACCTCCCCATACCCCCATCCTCCACTTCCTGTTCATTATTCCTGAATGTTTTGTGTTTAGTGGGTGGTTTTATGGGGGTTGCTGAGAAGTGTGTGGGATGGAGGTGGAGAGGGAGGAGAGGAAGAGGAGGAGGAGAACTTAATTGTGCTTCACGTTCCTTCCTTCTTTTGGAATTTCAATCGTGTTGCGTCAGGTCACCACCACTACCACCCCCACCCCCCACCACTACCACCCCACCACCCCCCACCACTACCCCACCCCATCACTACCACCCACCCCCCACCACTACCCCCACCCCCACACTACCACCCCACCCCTATCCTACCACCCCCCCTCACTACCCCACCCACCTACCACCCCACCCCCCATCCTTTCTGCCCCACCTCCATCACACTACTACTACACCCACCCCCCACAACTACCACTCCACCCCCAGCTTCCCCACCCCCAGCCCCCACCCCCACCCCACCCCCACCACTACCCCACCTCCATCACTACCCCACCCCCATCACTACCCCCCCACCCCCATCACTACCCCACACCACTACCCCCACCACCAGCATATACTTGCTGCTGGGGTGAGTGAGGTGGTGGGGTGAGAATGAGAATGTAGGGGTGGGGCTGCTCTAATTGGTCCACTTTAAGCTACGTCACCAAGATACCAGCATGGGAAAATGGCGTCGATATATCACAGACTGTAGAGTGTGAGCCAAGTAAGCTGTGTTCCCTCATTCTCAGATGCAAGGGCGGGGGGAGGCAGAGGGCAGGGGGAGGGACGAGAGGGAGAGGGATGAGCTTTATTCTTTTGAAATTCCGGTGCGGTCTCTCTCTCTCTCTCTCTCTCTCTGTCTCTCTCTCCTTCCGGTTTCTGGTTGGTGGGGATGATGAAGTGAGCAGAAATTGACTAGACCGGTAATAGAAGGGTTAAAGGTGATTTTTGGGTTATTGAAAGTAGTTATTGCGGTTATTGAAGGTCTAGATGGATATTGGCGAAAGTTAAGCCGTTTGAATAGATAGATAGATAGATAGATGGATCATAACCGTATTTAAACTACTTAACGGTTATGGCTAGATGGATAGATGGTCAATTAATGCAGGTTTAAGTTAAATGGATAGCGGATAGTTAACTCAGGTAAATGGACAGTGCTCAGGTAAATGGATAAGCGATAGTTAACTCGGTAAATGGATAAGCGGATAGTTCTCAGGCAAATGGATAAGCGGATAGTTAACTCAGGTAAATGGATAAGCGGATAGTTAACTCAGGTAAATGGATAAGCGGATAGTTAAGTAAATGGATAAGCGGATAGTTAACTCAGGTAAATGGATAAGCGGATAGTTAACTCAGGTAAATGGATAAGCGGATAGTTAACTCAGGTAAATGGATAAGCGGATAGTTAAAAGTTCACCTTGGGAGACTGGCACCGTGAGACTGGCACCGTGAGACTGGCACCGTGAGACTGGCACCGTGAGACTGGCACCTCAACAGACTGGGTGGCACTTGGTGAATGCTTGACTGTCTGTCTGTGTCTGTCTGTCTGTGTCTGTCTGTCTGTGTCTGTCTGTCTCATCTCGTATTTGGTTTCCTCTTCCGCTCTGTGTGTGTGTGTGTGTGTGTGTGTGTGTGTGTGTGTGTGTGTGTGTGTGTGTGTGTGTGTGTACATGCTTGTCGCCCACCCCCTTGTGTGAGTCTCGTTGTGTCAGGTCAGGTTGGGTTAAGTTAAGTCTGGTTGGTTTGGGTTGGGTTAGAGTCGGGCTAGGTTGGGTGAGGTTAGTCGGGCTGGGTTAGGTAAGGTTAGGTTGAGGTTAGGGTGGGTCAGGGTTGGGTTGGGTGGGTTGGGTTAGGTCAGGTTGGGTTGGTTAGAGTCTAGGTTGGGTTAGGTTGGTTCAGGTCGGGTTGGGTTAGGTTAGGTTAAGTCGGGCTAGGTTAGGTTAGGTTAAGTAATGTTTATATTCAACACAAACACCTTCCACTTACCTCCCACCTCAGGTCGTTACGAGACAGAAGGACATCACTCCTCGCTCCACTTCTCCTTTGACGTGCGCTCTTATAGGAATGTGTGTGTGTGTGTGTGTGTGTGTGTGTGTGTCTGCATTGTTTCACCTTAGCGTCACGTGCGCCCTCATCGTCCTGGCTGGTGTGTCTCCCTATTGTCACCAACACCACGACGAATGTAGGTGGTGTGGTGGTGGATGGGGTGGAGGTGTGGGGGGTTGGTAGGGATGGGATGGTTGGGGGTGTGGTGGGGCTGGGGGAGGGAGTGATTGTTGGGTGGTGGTGGTGGTGGTAAGTTTCTTGTTGCTGACCCCCACCAGTTTATTCTCAGGGATTCAAGGAGTAGGTCACGATTGGGGTGGGTGGGCGTTAGGGTGGGGTGGGGGGTGGAGGCACAAAGCTGCACATGTGTGTGTGTGTGTGTGTGTGTGTGTGTGTGTGTGTGTGTGTGTGTGTGTGTTGTGGTGTACAATTTATATTCGCTCACCGTTTTGTTCCACTACATCACGTTCCTAGGCACTGTACTCTCAGTCACTGATGGTCTCCCCCCCTCCCTCCTTCCCACTTTCACCCTCCCCTCGCCTCCTTTCCTTTTAGTTGTTGAGGGGTGGTCCAGGAGAGAGGTGGGAAGGTGTGGCACTGCACTCTATCTATACCCATGGCAATTTGTATGGGTGTGTGTGTGTGTGTGTGTGTGTGTGTGTGTGTGTGTGTGTGTGTGTGTGTGTGTGTGTGTGTGTGTGTGTGTGTGTGTGGTGTGGAGAGAGAGAGGGAAGGGAATGAGAGGGGGTGGTGGTGTTTTGGGGATTGTGGTTTTGTGTGAAATTAGTGTATGCTTGTGTAGATTTGTACAGTATGCCTGTATAAACACACACACACACACACACACACACACACACACACACACACACGCACAGATACTACACTCACACGCAAACACAACACACACACACACACACACACAAACCTTAATATACTATGACACAAGACATATTGTACACCTTCATTTTCACCCACCGTCATTCAAAAATAAAGTACCGTACGTGTCCGTGTTACTACTTACCATTGTGCGTGTCCTTAATGACCAGGTTAGCCTCCCTGACGGCCAGACGTCCGTAGAGGCCCGCTAGGCTGGTCCAGTCAGCACCCGCGTCCCCCACACTGATGGCGCTCACCTCCCACGTCGACCCGTGAGCTGGGGGAAGGGCACAGAAAACATTAATAATCGTCTTTATGGTGTAGATTATAGTGAAATCTCTAAATAACGGAATATTATCTATATATTCCGTTATATAGAGGTTTCATATATATTAATGGACCCTGGATATAACGGAATTTCATCTCTATATGTCCCGTTATAGGGATTTTACATCATAACGGGCATCAAAGTCCGTTAAATATGAATCTTCCTTCTAACGGACTATATGTAAGAGATTAGTCCGTTAATTAGAAGTCCGTTATATGGAAATCTTCAACGTACCGTAGATAATAATATAACGAAGTGGATTATTGTCTAAATAAGCGTTATTCTTTATTTTTTTTACCAGGAGTAACGTAAATATCAGGAACAGGACATGCACTCTATACTGTATAATATATTAGTGTGTCCTGGGATAAAAATAAGAGGGTAGTGGGCGTGGCTCTTAATAAAACACAGATGGCGTTCGTAGCGGAGAGAAAAAAGTAAAGCATTCATAATTGATTCTTCCAAACATTGACTCTCTCTGTGTGTGTGTGTGTGTGTGTGTGTGTGTGTGTGTGTGAAACAAAGAAATATACTGGATAGGAATAAATTTACCGAGGATTATTATTTTTTTGCTCTAACCAAGATTTTTAACCCCCTTGAGTTCGGAAAGACTTAACCCTCCTTGAGTACGAAGGTTAACCCTCCTTGAGTACAGTAGCATTGTACTCTTTATGACTGTCTTGGTACTTTGGGGTTTGTGGGTTTGAGAACGCTTAAATAGTAGAGTGAACGAAATTTTAAGAATATCCGATTTTTTAGGTTTTTGAGTGAAAGTGACCGAAATTTTTGGGGATTTTGAAAGATTTTGAGTGAAAGTGAACGAAATTTTAAGACTATACCATTTTTTTTATTTTTTGGGGCGAGTGACCGAAATATTAAGGGATTTTGAAAGATTTTGAGTGAAAGTGAACGAAATTTTAAGACTATACCATTTTTGAGTTTTTTTTTTGGGTGAGTGAAATTTTTAAGGATTCTTTAAAGAGTTTGAGTGAAAGTGAACGAAATTTTAAGAATATCCCATTTTTTCAGGATTTTGGGTGAAAGTGAACGAAATTTTTAATGATTTTTAAAGAGTTTGAGTGAAAGTGAACGAAATTTTAAGAATATCCCATTTTTTCAGGATTTTGGGTGAAAGTGAACGAAATTTTTAAGGATTTTTAAAGAGTTTGAGTGAAAGTGAATAGAAATTTTGAGGATATATTTTTTTTATGTGTACTAGGTTGAGAAAAAAAATGAAGAGAATTTAACGAGCTACTTAAAGGGGGCTGCTGCAGACTGTTGGTTAGGGTGACAAAGGATCCCAGTTAGGTGTGTGTATAGAGGTGTGAGGTGTGTGTGTATGTGTGATTATTTTTCAGTAGGTGTATGTATGTATATGTGCTTACGTGTGTGTGTGTGTGTGTATGTGCGTACTGTGTGTGTGTGTGTGTGTGAACTCTAATAGTGACACAACAGATGAATATTGTATCATGGTGGGAGGTTGGGGGGTAAGGGGTGATGGAGGGGGTTGTTGGGGGGGGGTCTCCTGTTGGCCGCCACTGCCCTGGGATTCGATCGACAGGTGAAACGACTGATGCTGGGTAGGAGATGAGAGAGAGAGAGAGAGAGAGAGAGAGAGAGAGAGAGAGAGAGAGAGAGAGAGGGGGGAAAATGAATAAGGAGAAGAAGGAGTAAGAGGGGAATGATGAAGAGGACGAGGAGAGGAGGAAGAGAGAAGGTGAAAGGATAAGAGGAAACTATGATGTAGAGGAGAAGGAAGAGGAGGGGGAGAGGAAGAAGAGAGAGAGGGAAAGGGAGGAGGAAGAGAGAGGTGAGAGGGAAGACGGAGAGAGAGAGAGAGGCGAGGGGAAGAGAGGAGGGACCACACGGTAAACCATAAAGGGGTGAGGTAAATGGGTCATGTTAAAGAGGAGGTGTGTGTGTGTGTGTGTGTGTGTGTGTGTGTGTGTGTCCGAGCCATAAGTCATGTTGCCCTAAGATGATGGGTCAGACCAAGTAATATCGCCAGCCTATAGTACTCTTTTAATGGTAGCCAGAAGTGCTGAACTCCCCCCCCCCCCCCCTTCCTCCAGTAAGTCTTATCTAGAAAGTAAGGAATATCTCAGGGGAGAGGAGAGGGGATATCACACAAGAAATCACTTCAGAATATTAAACAGTAGAACCTTCCCAACACTGACTACTTGCAAGCTCTGTCCGATATTGGGAGGATTCTGTATGTGAGAATATCCAGTGATGAGATGTCCGTTATTGAGAGGGTATACTGTATCCATTACTTTATTGAGATGTCCGTTATTGAGTCTGTATCCATTATTGAGAAATCCGTTATTGAGGAATATTAAACGAGAATTTATAATCAAATAAGAGATTATAAGAGGGTCATATATGGTCAGGTCACGTATATATATGTATATTGGTCGGGACAGGTGTGGGTCTCGTCTGCAGGTGAGACAGGTGACCTCTGACCTCTGACCAGACAGGTGTGGGTCGGTTGTTGTTAATTTTCAAAGGTGGTTGAATTATTTTGGTGACGATGATGATGATGATGATGTCTTTCCCTCTCCCCCTCTTTCCCCTTCCTCCTTCCTCTCTTCTTCCATTCCTTCCCTCTATTCACATCCTTCCTATCTCTTCTCTTTCTCTCTCCTTCTTCTCCCTTTTCTCCTTTCTCCTCACTTCTAGCTTCCCTTTTCCCTTTCTTCTCTTCTCATTTTAACTTTTTCTTCCCCGTTCTTCTTTCCTCTCCCTACCTTTTCTCTCCTTCTCATTCCGTCTCCTTTTCCCTCCTCCTCCACCACCCTCCTCTTTCCCCCTTCTCCTTTCCCTTCTCTCCCTCCCATTCCTTTCCCCCTCCCTCTCTCCTCCCATTCCTTCTCTCCTCCCCATTCCTCTCCTTCTCTCTCTCCTCCCATTCCGTCTCCCTCCCTCCCTCCTTCCACCCTCCCTCCCCTTCTCTCCCTCCCTTCTCCTCCCTCTCCCTTCCTCCTTCTCTCCCTCCCTTCTCCCCCTCTCCTTCCTCCCTCCCTTCTCCCTCTCTCCCTCCTCCTTTCTCTCCTCCTCCCATTCCGTCTCCCTTCCTCCTCCTCCCCTCCCTCCTTCCTCCCTCCCTTCTCTCCCCTCCTTCTCCTCTCCTCCCTTCTCCCTTCCTCCCTCTTTCCCCCTTTCTCCTTCTCTCCTCCTCCTTCTCTCCTCTTCCTCTCCTCCTTCTTTCCCTCCCTCCCTTCTTCTTTCTCTCCCTCTCCCTCCCTCTCTCCCTCTCCTCTCTTCCTGTGGGCATTGGTCGGGGAATTTCGTCCTCTTGTAAGTTACTTGTCCAATTAAGTGACCAACGTACAGACATCCCCAGCCACGAGAGACAGACACACACAGACAGACAGACAGACAGACAGAGACAGACAGACAGACCGACTGACTGACAGACTGACTGACTGACTGACTGACTGACTGACTGGACGACCAGAGACAGACAGACAGACAGGCAGACAGACAGACAGACTGACAGACAGACAGACAGCCAAGCAGACAGACAGAAATAGAGACATATGTACAGAACAGAGACAGAGGTAAAGACAGACAGACAGACAGACGGAGAAGAGAAGGAGAGTGGGAAAATAAGAGAGGAATGGAGAGAGAAAGAGAGAAACAGAGAGATAGAGAGAATAATGAGTGAGAGAGAAAGAAAGAGAGAATAGAGAAAAAAAGGAAGGTGGAGAAAATTGAGAGAGAGAGAGAGAGAGAGAGAGAAGAGAGAGAGAGCGTTGATGAGATGTGAACAGCAGACAATGAAATGAGGCAGAGAGAGGGGAAGCTGGTCTCTGGGGAGTACCTATTGCCTGATGCTGAGAGAGAGAGAGAGAGAGAGGAAGGAGAGAGAGAGAGAGAGAGAGAGAGAAAACCCGTCTCTTCCACCCCTAAAAAAAAAAAAAGTACCATTAAAAATTAAAAAAAAATATATATATAAATAAATAATAAAAACGGAAAAATAAATAAAAATAGTAAACAAGAGACTCATCTATAGAGAGTTACTGAGGTTAAAATAAAAGAGGATTATAAAGAGTTAAAAGCTGTTTTATATAGTTAAAGAATAGGTCCTCTCTAAAAAAAATAAAAAATAAATAAAAGTAGTGAAGCTTTTTTTTTAATATGGATGGCGTCTGCCCTCCTCCTCTTGTCTCCGTCTCTTATTGTTATATTACTATTATTATTCCCTTCCCTCATTCGCCCTAATAAATGGTGTGTGTTTATCTCTCTCTTCTTCCTGCCTTCATCGCTTACTTTCTCCCTCCCCTTCACTTCTTCCCCCCCCTCCCTCCTCCCCCTTTCTGTCTATATGTCTGTTCCTTCTTCCTCTCATCTGTCTCTCTTCATCCCTCCTCCCCCCCCCCCTTCCGTCTTCTCTTCTCCCTCCTCCCTTTATGATAGCCTTGTAGAAATCATCATATCCGGGTTGTCTGTCTGTCTGTCTGTCTGTTCGTCTGTCTGTCTGTCTGTCTGTCTGTCTGTCTGTCTGTCTGTCCTTTGTATTCGAGAAATTGTGTTCATTTTATATTGTAATTTTCCTCTGATTTTTTTTACCGTATAATTATTGTGTTTTTATATTATTATTTTATTATATTTACCAAAGTTTATAATAATAATAATAATAATAATAATAATAATAATAATAATAATAATAATAATCTGAATACATCATTATACCTGTAAAGACTCACGATTAATCAAGGTAACCCGTTGGACGTCTACCTCGAAGGAACACTTAATTAACCTTAACACACCTGTCACCTCGCTCAGGTAGGTCGCTGTGTTGTGCTCGTTAACACACACACACGGGTACAACTCACTGTTCATAAGTTGGTCGTGTATAGTGTGTCCGTCATAAACTCCAGTGAGAAGGGCGGTGGTGGTAGTGGTGGTGCAAGGGAGAAGTGATATATGACGGCTTATGATGTGTG